CAGTCATCGAAAACCACAACTATGTGGAATTTATATGTATGTATACCTACCTATAATGTTTATAATAAAGAAAAATATTAGGTATTTTTTGCGTTGTGCCTGGGGCATATGACCTATTCTTTTGAATTTTTAAGTAGGCGAGACGGTCCCGGCTATGGATTACTGTCAGGTTGATAAACCGGCGAATGATACCTAGTTATCAGAGGCGAGGCGTCAAAATTGTCGTTAGTAAAGCCACAGTAAAACAAAAATCCCTTAAGAAAAAGTAGCGCCATGCACTTAAACACAACTTTTTTAGCACACAAGGTACTAGTATACTTAATTTCACAAAAATTTGGTATTTGATAATACGTGGAAAATTTTAGGCAAGCCGGTGAAAATTGAGTTATATGGACGCCTCGCCACTGCTATTTAAGCACCCGGATCATCCCCGCACTATACAAGTGAGAATGCAGTGTTAGTCATAACTGTTGATATAATAGTCGACGATGAATGCAAACCGCAATAAGGCAGCAAATTGGTAATTTAAGTTTATTAAACTAGCCGGTTGACACGAGAGAATTTGGAGACAGATGACATTTTTAAGATTTCAAAAAATTAACAAAATGCAGCTTGCACACACCATGCAATCTCTTTTCTAACACTCCTCCTTTAATTTGAAGAAATCATTCGCTCTTCACTCAAACACTCAAACCCATCATCACACTATATATGTCATATACACACACCATTCAAATTTCCCTTTCACCAAGGCTTTAGTTAAAACATCCATCCTATTAAAAAAAAAAAAATATTATCCATGCAACCATACGTTTTGTTTCAATGTAGTTTATTACTACCTGCTTGTTCTATACGGCTTCTCCGACAAAATGATAACGTAGGTCAATATGCTTAGTGCGTTGGCGGTGCACAGGGTTCTCTGTAATGGCTATAGCAGATTGACTATCACTGAAGATGGTGATGCACTGTTCGTTAGTGCAGGTGATCTTTGCTGTCTTCTAATGAATGCTGCCTCTCTCGTCTGACAGGGCCACACATATTCCGCTTCAGCAGGTTGAAAGCGCTATTGTCCGCTGTTTTATGCTCTGCCAATGTACAGCTCCTCCTTGAGCCATAAAAACGTTACCAGACCAGGATTTCCGATCCATATCTCCACCATGACTGGCATCTGAGAATCCTTGTATAAGATTTTCGGAACTGCAGTTATTAGAATACTTTATTCCATAGGATTTTGTCCTCTTAAGATATCTTAGAACTCTTTTTGGATAGCGGCCTATCCAATGTTTTCGTGTGAAAAAGTAGGTATTGAACTGGCATAAAGTGCTAAACGCATGCGTTATATCCGTGTGCACACACAAAAACAAATGAAAGCATTCCATACAAGGATCCGATCATTTTGGTATGGAATGCTTTCATTTGTTTTTTTTTTTCAGAATTTCCTTCTTTTGATAAATGAGATCCGGGTGCTGCCGGAGTAGCACTTGTCTTGCAATCTTCCATGCCATACGTTTTGAGAAGTTTTTCGACGTATTTCTCTTGATCTATCTTTATTATATTTTTATTTTGGGTAATTTTCATACTCAAAATAAGATCTGCTTGTCCAAGATCCTTCATTTCAAATTTGGACATCAGGTCTTCTTTGACCTTCTGAAGTTCTTCTCTGTTGTTCCAGAATATTAACACATCATCAACATACACTGCTAGGATGATAATTGTACTACCTCTGGATCTTGTATATATGCAGGGTTCGTTTTTTTACTGTTTGAATTGAAGTTGTTTCAATTCACTGTCTAATTTTTTATTCCACGCCCTCGTGTGTGGTGCATAGCTCCAAGGTAGATAAGGTTTCGGACTAACGAATGTATCGATGAGACCATCTATTAAACAACGGGCATCCGACTCTACCGGTTGTCTAGTTAAGCTGTAGTTTTATTTTAGTTTTTAAAAAAGCTCCTTTCGCTCCCGAAAACAAGACTATCTATGTGCTGTAATAAGCGGCGCTATTGTTATTAAGTTGTTCCTAAAAACGGCGCTTTGTTAACGCCGGGTTTTACTCGGGTTAAAAGCGGATAATGCCCGAAATGGAGGACAAAAACCAAATGTTTGTCGTAAATCGAGTTTTGTTCTAATTTAATGATATTATTCCAAACTGTTTATTATGTAAACTGTTCTTTCCGATCTATGCACTTGAATCGATTTTCATAAAAATTTAATCTTAGAGTGCATTTTTAGTAGCGACAATTCACAGGATTGCAGTCGCCTCTTCTTCGGCTAAAAAAATTAAATTAAACGTCAACATTTGTAATATAAGTATGGAATTATACCACATACCCGAACAGATTGATTGGGTTTAACCCACTGCCCATTTCTAGTTGTTCAGACCTTTGGTCACGTATGAGTCGACAGGAAGAAGATAAGGCATAGCATGATAACATTGTTTATTCATACAACATTGTTGCAACTGTGTGACTTCTTAGAAAACATTTTTAAGTAAGTAGTGTATGTGTGGTATGTATGTTGACTCAAAAAGTGTATTTGGAAGGACATTAAACGCCTCTTGGTGTTCTTTAACAATTAAATTTCATCGGTGGTTATGAAATTAAATGGAAGGCGGCGAATTAAGGAATCACCAGCACTTAAGGTTACAATGAAATTTAATAAGTACTAAAAGTATTATCAAACAAATAAGTAATATCAAATTAATATCAACGGTAATTTTATGTAGATAGGTACATAATTTTGTTGAAGCTAAAAACCGCAACAACAACTTCGATAAACATTAGGCCGCTCTAGTCGCGATCGTTCGTGAGATGCGCCGAAGTTGAGACTTCGGCCGCCGTCGTGAACTCCGCCGCTGGCCATTGTTTGCTGCCTCTGAAGCTAGACGCACGCTCGCCTTGCCTTTAACAGGCGTGCACTCTCACTCCGGATGTGAATCAAAGGTAGAAGAAGGGTACGTCTCGTACCTACTAGTGGCATAGAGAACAGCTGCAGCAAGTTCTGTACCTGCGCGGCGGCGACTCTGGCACCCGGCCAATAGCGGCGTCCCGCTGCCCTCGCCTTCCCCGTCGCCATCCTTAGCGATATTGTACGTGTTGATATACCTATCTCACTCTCTTTAAAATTTACTTTTAGTTGCTCTTTTCTTTTTCTCATTCTTCTTTTTTCACGTTCGTTCTCAATGTGTATATCACTCTTCGCGACGCGAGTAATTCTTCGTATCGTCGATGGTGGTGGGTGGCGTTGATTGCCAACACGGCCATGCTGAGATGTGCCCACCCAGGCACCCCAGGCACTTCTGCGGACGCTTCACAATTCCATCTTACAGGCTGCGAAATAAAACAAAGAAAGTATTATTTAAATGTTATAATACCAATGCTACGAACAAGTGCCTCGGCCCATCATGATACTCCATATACTAACATGAATACTGAGTAGTGACGTGTTGCAACACCAGTTACATTCTGGTGTTCCCTTTTCCCTTAATAATTTTCATTTCGAATTGAAAAACTGTAATAGACTATTAAAAGTGAAAATTTTACAACCTCACGATTTTATTTGAAACTTAACTACATACCTTGCCAACACAGTCAAATTCATGGGTCATTTGAAATCCATTATTTACTAAGTATATTATATATCATTTAAATCCCAATCATTAATATTTATCCAGGGTTGAATGTTTTCGGCGGCAGCTTGTCCTGTATATCGTTTTGAGCTTCTTTTGCTGCCTCACAGATCCGTAACTTCATACCGGTCGTGACCAAGATTTTTCTTTATTTGGAAAGGGCCCTTAAAAATTGGTAACAATTTTCGGCTTTGTCCATCATTAGATTGGCTTTGAATTTTTATAAGCACTAAATCACCCTCTTTATACTGTCTAGCTTTTGTACGTGATTTGTCGAATCTTTGCTTCAGTAATTCAGAATCCGTTTTAATATTTTCATATACCTTTGTGCGTAGTTCGGTTACGTCAACAGTACAACTGTCGTCAGGTTCCGGTGCTTCAGTGTCACTATCAGTCCTCAGTCTGTACCCTAACAGAACCTCGCTAGGTACAGCTTTTATAGTTTTATGGAAAGTGCTATTCACAGCTTGTTGGGGTTTAACACATTGATCCCACCTATTGTCAGCTACATCCGCACCCATTGTTCGCATGGCTTCAAGGATTGTTTTGTTAAATCTCTCCACTTCACCATTTGATCTAGGCATCCCTGTCGCTACAATGTGGAGTCGAATGTTCTTGTTTGAGCAATATTCTTTAAACGTGCAAGATGTGAATGCAGATCTGCAATGATTCTTGCGGGTTACCAAATATCTTTCCAATCCAAAAAATGTTGTCAAGTTCCCTTAACAAACCTTTACAATTGGCATTTCTTACTGCAGCAATAAAGACGAATTTGGTGAAGAATCAACCGTCACTAACAAATATTTGTTCTGGTTAACAGTTTTAATAAATGGGCCCAAGTGGCCCATAGGTAACTATCGACCTATCGCAATATTGTCAGCACTGGCTAAGGTTTTCGAGATGGTTATGCACGAGTACTTGCTTCCTCAGTGCGAACCTTACTTCACAAGCTCCCAACACGCCTTTTTGCCTAAAAAATCGGTAGCTACTAATCTGGTCGAGCTGGTTGATATCATTTCGAGGGAGATGGATGCTCGGAATCAGGTTGATATTGCATACCTTGATTTCCAGAAGGCGTTTGACCTGGTCGACAATGACATATTGCTGCTGAAGCTGAGTAGAATGGGATTCGTCCCCCGGCTTTTAAAACTGTTCGCCAATTATCTCAAAGACCGGAAACAATTTGTAAAATATGGGCCATACCACTCAAAACTGTATCATACACGTTCTGGTATAAGCCAGGGATCAAATTTGGGACCATTCCTTTTCGTAATTTTTATTAATGATCTTCCCGCGGTTGTCAGTAGCGCCACCACTCTATTGTTCGCCGATGATGTAAAACTCGCTTTGCCCATCAAATCAGCCCTGGACTGTCAAGCTTTACAAAGAGACATTGACGCAGTGCACAAATGGAGTATAGATAATAAATTGTTATTTAATACTGGTACATGCGAGATTATGTCCTTTTCGCGTTCCCCGTTGCCCATTCACTATAACTATCTAATAGACGATATGATGATGGTTCGCGTTAACGAGGTCCGTGATCTCGGAGTTACTTTATACACAAGTCTAACATTTCGTACTCATGTCAAGAATGTCACCAAATGTGCGTACCAGAGGCTAGGGTTCGTATTGCGCAACGCTGCGCCATTTACTGCCTCAGCACCGCGCACGTTATATACGGCACTGGTTCGCAGCGTCCTCGAGGCGAGTGCAGTGGTCTGGTCTCCTCAAGGGAAGAAACATATTCTTATGTTGGAACAAGTACAAAAAAAGTTTTTAAGATACCAATATAAAAAGAATCACATTTACTACCCATTTATGTATCCAACACGGTTCCTACAGGGTCACCTAGGTTTCGAGTCGTTGGAGTTACGCAGAAATTTGTCCTTACTCACCTTCGTATTAAATGTTATAAGGAATAGTATAAACAGTATCTACCTTGTGGAAATGACCCTTAAATTCAATGTACCTAGAGACTACTGTACCAGGCGACGAGGTGTGCTCTTGTTAGCAACTGTGCCTACACGCACTGAACAATACCGACACTCTCCCCTTCCCCGAGCGGCTTCTCTCCTCAACTCCGTACTCGCAGCAACTCCGCAATATGATCTATTTGTGACAGGGATAGCGAGACTGTTGAATGAATGGAAAAGAGTGCTAGAGAGAAGACAGGATGGATTTTAGTTTATTAGTTAGTTATTTAATTTAAGTTTAGATTAGTAATATGTTTTGTTTTAAGATTTTTACTTGTTTTTAGTTTTAATTTTTGTTAATTTTTCTTTTGTTTTATCTTTATTTTTATTTTGTGGCGTAACGCTATGGTCAATGAATACCGTCAGGTTACACCATTTATAATTGAATAAATAAATAAATAAATATGTAACGTGTGGAAAGGTTGCGCATACTTAGGTAAAGGGTACAACTCACCTTCTTTGGCCCCACCTTTGTTTTTATAATATATGCAGTGCAGACAATTTTTAATGCATTTTTTTTACTATACAACGCATTTTGGGGAACCAATACCTTTACCAAACAAACCAATACCAAATTCTTTCTACGGTTTTATCTAACGCAAAGTGCCCAAGATCGTCGTAATTGTTTTTGATCACTTGCTATATACGCCTTTTTGGTACTACCCAGTGACGACCTTGGATTGTCCTGCGAAATATATCGCAGATGTTACCTAAGAGTTCATATTCAATAAAAACAGATTTATTTTTGTCTATATCTCCTGATTCCTGAATTTCTTTGACTTTAGCTAGTTTTGTGTCTTGAGTCTGGACCGAGTTGTGCCAGTCCGCCTCAGTTATAGTAAGAATTTCTGCTTCCGTCTTTTCTGTGAAATTCAATCGTAAATTATCACTTTACGATTGAATTTCACAGAGTTATAATTATAATTTCACAGAATTATAGTTACTTACTTACTAATATCGACAGGTTTCTTGTCTATAATTGCTTTCAACAACTCAAACATGTTTCGTTTTACTTGAAAGGTAGACAAAATTGTCTGCTTCCAATCCTTCCTTAGCCAGTTTGTCCACGTGTGGCTGTTACGTAACAATGAGTCATACCATATTTTTGCAGATCCTTTTGGTTTATTCAGTGCTTAATATAACGTATCACATTGTCAGGCCACGAAAAAGTAGACGAATAGGATTCTATTATATCAACCACGACACCACATTATCAGTAAGTGGGTAAAAGTCTGTATCATATTGTGTAAAATCATAGCACTCGTAATCACGGTTTCTTTGTTGGTTTTACGAGATACCTTCTTACGTTTTGTAGGCGGCGACGGGGTCCGGGTACTGCTGCTGTTTTCGGTCGAGGAAGATTGAGCGCGCTTCCTTTTATGTTTTCGCCTACCCGTGGCTTCACATGCGTGAGAAACTTGTCACTTCTGATGTAGGCAATTAAACGTATTGCTTTACAATTAATTCTTTTAATCCGGCACAAATAAAAAGACCCTGACAGTCTTTCAGACTTATTTTTCACAACAAGAGAAAAATCTAAACGAACGACACGTGTTGCTCTTTTCTTTTTCTCATTCTTCTTTTTTCACGTTCGTTCTCAATCTGTATTTCACTCTTCGAGACGCGAGTAATTCTTCGTTTCGTCGCTAGGTAGCGTTGATTGCCAACATATACCAATGACTTTTTTATATCAACTGGAAATAATTTTCGCTAACGGTGTAGGAAAATATTCACACATTCACCAGCCTAGGCAAATATTCACAAGTTCCCAACCCGCATTGGACTAGGTTGGCGGACCTTAACCCTCTCTTTAGAGGAGACACGTACTCAACAGTGGGACGAATAATGAGTTTGGCAATGCTGAAATTAAACAATATGGAACATGGATTTATATTTTGTGAAATACGAAAAGTTTGGTTAACAGAAGTCGTCGAATACAACTAAAACTAACATACATACAATATAATAATAAAAAACAAATCTACACGATTTCACTTATCGGCGACGTGCGACGCAATCTGGTGTCAGGTAACCGGCCGCGGAATCGCCGATATATGACACCCTTCGGCCAAAATTCCTCTTTCATGAAGGTCGAAAGATGTTCGGTCGGTATTCTCACCACAAACGAATTAAAGTTCACGTTGCGGCGAGACTCCAACCGGTCGACCCTCAGGGTGTAATTGGCTTTATGCCTGATATACTCAAAACTAAAGTTTACAAAAGTTTAAAGTTTCACAACTTTAAACTTTTGTAAAAGTTTTACAAATACAAGGTGAAACCAGGAAACCTGCCAATTGCTGAGGCTGTTACCTTTTCTTCAACACAGCCATTTATTTTACGCCACTATTTTAAGTTTTTTATGTATCGTTGTAGTTGAAGAATAAAGTGGTTTTTTAAACATTAATTTTTACAAGTAACCTGTCTTTTTTCAGCTCGCTACTTAGTCTACTTAATTGTAATCCGGATGTTCCAAGAACTATATTCTCTGCCCCAACTGCTGCGCTCACAACGCTTCGACTGGCTGTCACTCGTAAAAGACAACAAGAATACTCTGGTGATGCTTGCTGCTTCATTTGCTGTCCTCTGGGTTACACAGACGGAGAAATTAATTTCTGTTGAAGAATTTACTTGTTTGTTCGTCGCTTTTCTTATCTGCCAGTACTTTTTGAAGGTGAGTTTCTATCCAGTTCTTGCTGACACATAGGATGTAAAGAGCCCGAAACGTTGGTTTAATTGAATAATCTCAGGACAGAGTACTAAAAAAAACCGACCTCAAAAGTACGTGGAATAACATCTATTTGCCAAGTTTTATTGAAGTATGGGAATGTTTAGTTCGCCACTATACAGGACTTGACACAGGAGATAATAAAAATCGGTTCTCACTACTCAAAGTATATTGAGAGAAGAACGCCTTGAATTGGAGAACAGCAAAACCGACCATTAAATAAAATAATTGCTCTTAAGTAATATTTAGGCGCTATTTATAAAAATACGTGATCAGCTACCCTTAGAGTGGATGATTTTCTTCAAAATGAAAAGGGACCACTATGGAGGTACCCTCTTTCCAACAAAAAAAGAATCATGAAAATCGGTTCAGAAATACCGGAGTTATCGCGTAACATACATACAAAAAAAAATACAAAAAAACGTACAGTTGAATTGAGAACCTCCTGCATTTTTTGAAGTCGGTTAAAAAAAAACAAATATACGCTATTCCGATATCTGATTCCGCCGATTCGATTAGATATCTTACGATTTCATTTAATTTTTATTCACAATAACCGAATCGAACGTCAAACTGTCATATTCGAAACCGAACCCAAATGACGGCACACCCGTACGATCACTCGTACTTCTCGACCGGCAAAGGCTACAAACGTTATTCAAAACACAGTTATCAAATGAAAGCTACCGAACGTCCTATTGTTTACAAAGCAAGAATGTAATGTGAAAATCTTTTATTATTTTAATTAATATCTGGATTTTGTTCAATTATATTAATTTATTACATCCAATCATTGACTTACAATTATATGGACGTCGGGTCCGCGCTAAAAAGTGTCCGCACTTGTAAGGCGCTAAAATCGTATACAGAGCGCGACACTCTGCTTTAGTCTTCATTTGTTCTAGGGACAGCGCGATACTGCGATGACATAACAATTTAAATTTCGAATAGGTTGACTTGGGACATTTTTTTCGTGGTTTTTGTATTAGACCGGTCGTCCATTTATTTGTAAGTCAATGCATCCAATGGAACGATTCGGTTAAGATATCGAAGAGTTCTGAATCGGATCGGGTAAAGTACACCTGTCGTGTAACGAATTAGCACATTCTTTAGACAATATCCTTATGTGTGTCGTATATTTTTAAAAAGACCGCTATTTAATAGTAAATACTTAAATAATTTGATGTAGCAAACCAGCGTCTCTGGCGACTCGCGTTTAAAGCTTATAGTTTAGTATTTAAATAGTACAGGCTGGTTCGGAAGTGATATTCAAAACAAAATGGGGAGGTAGGGTTGAGTATTTCCAATCGATTTGACTGCTACATAGGGGTCCGGAAATTTATGGTTCAAAAGTTGTTCAACTTTTTGTGTTGTTTGGAAAAATCATTAAGTGCACAACCGCTCTTCTGCTTCTTGTACATTCAAAAAGTAACAAACCGACTATAGGATTTTTTGTTTGATCTTGACAACTGTGCTGCCCGTTCAGGTATGTAGAAATAACGTATGTACGGAGCAAAACTGGTTCGGTTCGTAGCGATAGGAGGTATTGTTCGATAATTTATTATTGTACTTACTAAAGGAACTAAACTTTTCGGTTTTTTATTTACTAGGTTTAGAAGTTTCCCCATCCATCTTAAAGTTCTATTTTAAATTAAAAACATCCCTTTGACACGGAATTATTATTATGTAAAAAACTGACCAATTTTCCAAAAAAAAAAATCAAATAAATATAATTTTAGAAAAATGTACCATGTGTTATACATAGTTAGAATCTGCATGAAATGCACTAGTTTTTTTGTTATAGCACCTTTTTGTAGTACATTTTATTTTGGTGAGATTCTCTTGAAAACAAAATTTGGTTTTTTGTGAACAGAAAATTATTCACTAAAGGGCTATTTGCAATTGACGTATGCTAGCTCATTTTATGATAAGAGTTCTGTCAAAAAGATACATATCTCAGAAACATAATGCAAAAAATCACTTCAAAAGTCCTTGTGGATATTTTAGTGACGTTTTAGAGGTGCAATTAGTGATTTTTCCAAAAAACAAAAAGTTGAATAACTTTTGAATCATCAATCTCCGGACAGTAAATAAATAAATAAAATTTATGGTTGGACGACAGTCGCGTTTAGCAAGTTCCCATATCACGACTATCTGTCGTGACTGCGTCGTGGCCGTTTATTTTATCGTTGAACGACTGTCGTGTCTAGCTTAGTTAGTGACGACAATTTATCGGTTCACGATAGCCGCCTTGTCGTTTGCACCACAGAATCGCTTGAAATTGCGATTATCTGTCTTCACATTTTCACGATAGTCTGTCGTCGTAATGTCAAAAAACTCGTAAACGACATTTAATCACATATAGCAACTACAACAGTACTTACTACATGTGAACGACTATCCGTCGTCACGACATAATGGAAACCCGGCCTACCTGCTCATTTCGTTTTGAGCATCACTTCCGGGCTATCCTGAATAATTAGTGAAGCAGTATTCAGTAACAGAAAAAATATTATTTTAAGGAGCACCGAAACACTTCTTCGGAATACTTTTCAATTTTTTCTGGATTATTTTGTTTTTATTCCGCACACTTGCCTGAAGGAATTTTTTTAATTTTTTTGGGTTGCCTAGAAGTCAAAGTAAAAGAATCAATTATTCCATACATTGACTTACAAATAAATGGACGACGGGTCTAATACAAAAACCACGAAGAAAATGTCCCAAGTCAACCTATTCGAAATTTAAATTGTTATGTCATCGCAGTATCGCGCTGTCCGTAGAACAAATGAAGACTAAAGCGGAGTGTCGCGCTCTGTATACGATTTTAGCGCCTTACAAGTGCGGACACTTTTTAGCGCGGACCCGACGTCCATATAATTGTAATTCAATGATTCCATAGGTAAAATTTTTACACTTGGAAACGTTATTTTTTAAGCTACTGTTCGTTCACTACGCTGGCCTCCCTGAGAAGAACGAGCAAGAAACTCTAGGGATTGCTCTTTTCAAATAAACTTAAATGCTATGGAATAAATACACTTTGAATCAAATTTGTGTGGATTCTGGAGCCATGTCGTCTTTCCATACATCTTTATCTAATACGTAGATATATGATGACGGTACCCTAAAATCCGAGATGTCGAATGATGGTGCAATAGTTAACATGAAGCATAAAAACTTTGGAACGCAGTAAAAATCACGTCCGTGAAATTACTTAGAATTACACAGGCAGTAAAATCACACCACGACTCATTAAGGTTATAATTTATAACATTTTTTAGGACTTGTTGTCGAAAAACCGAGAACTGCGTTACAAAGTAACCAGCGCACTACTCCATCGTTCGATCCCTTAGTATATGAGGACTGGAGCTGCGACTCCAGACCATTCGATTGCTAACATCCGGTAACTGTAACCGTTACCACATAAGTTCTTTATATCGATCGACACCTTCCAGTCTGTTGGACCGTTGTCGTATAAGTTCTTTATATAAATACAGTTTTTGTCTTAATTGGAAAAAGTATTTAAATTCAGTGAATCCTTCCCTAAAAACGTAACTACAGTAGCAAAAGGTTACTTCATCTCGACGACCCTTACACCCCATCAACTCCGTAAGAAGAGGAGAACTCTCACCCCAATCTTAAAACCCCAAAAGCTAACTCATCTAACGTATTCAACAAATGTTTAACTACGTAGTCTTCAATTTTGTAATATGATTTTTCGATCAAAATATTTTTAATGTAGTTTTTAAACTTAGGAAATGATAAACTTAATATATGCTCCGGAATCTTATTGTAAAAACGTATACAGTTCCCCATAAAAGAGTCGTTTACCTTGGTTAAACGAAATCGTGGTACTATGAGTTTGGACTTAGCTCTAAGGTTATCATGGATATCTAATATTATGCATATCTTCTTTCTTATTGAAATGATGTATATTTTTACGGGCATATAAAATATTTGATTAAATGTACTGTGATGTCATGATACCAGTCTCCTTAAACTCTTCTCTGAGAGAAACCCGAGAGCCTAAACGGTACACAGAACGAATCGCTCGTTTTTGCAATACAAATATGGTTTGAATGTCTGCCGCTTTACCCCACATGAGAATCCCGTATGACGAAGATTTCGTTCATAAATCATGTTTTTGTCTTGTTTAAAATTTACCGTATTGTTTTGACCAATTTGTCAGGAACGGAAATCCCGAACAATAAACTATGGCGTCGGCATGGCGTGCAGTTACTTCGAAGGTTATCTAAAACTCATCATACCCAATGACGGAACCCAGTCAGGAGGCGGCTTCGAGCACAAGATTCAACAGTACGAGGCCTCGCAGGGAGTGGTGTTTCCCGTGAGGATGTTGCTCCTGGTCATCACCAAGTCGCTGTTCTGTCCACCTGATATGAACCATTTTAACAACAGAAACAGACCTGATTTGCCTTATATGGAAGCCATGAGTGTGAGTGTTCATTTAAAAACTTCAACATTTAAAAAATCCCCGGCACAGAAAAGTGAACTCTCAAGAATGTATAGTAATGTTTAAATTTTATTTGGTCCTTAAATGCGTCGGGGGGTCACTAATCAAAATGCTTTTGTAACTTAATAAATACCCTTTTTATCAATTAGTCACCTTGATTCGAAAAATTTGCTTTGAAAGATAATTTAACGGTGTCGGATACGCTGCACACTATATTGCCATCGGATTTATATAGTATATATCAAGTTGATCGGCCGAGTAGACGTAAAATAAATATTAATATTAGGGTGCGTACAGATCTGGCGAATGCGCTGCGATACACGCATGCAATTAAGTGCGCCTCTGTAGGTAAGCAAGCATATGCGGCGCGCGAACCGGCGAACTCGTGAATAGGTCGCCCAACGTAATGCACGTGTGCATCTCGCGAGCCTATGGCAAACACGGTTATGACACAGATCCCTACACTAACCGAGAAATGATCTTTATATAACCGACGTTCCAATGAAAAAAGACCGCCCATGACCATCACATTACACATCACACAGCCAGACACAAAAACTCTTTTCGTGTCGGGGATATTGGAATAAATGAACAAGTTCCACCGCGGAACGAGTGTAGCCTATTAACCGTGTGGGTTGTAGCGGCGTGTGAGACGACAGAGTGTCCCTGGTCCGCAGCCGCTGACGGACGTGCTGCGCGACGTGGCGGGCGTGAAGAACCGCCAGTACCGCAACTCGCCGTACAAGATCTACCGCCGCGGGCGCCTGCCCGTGTGCGTCATCGTGGAGTTCGCCACGCCGCTGCACACGCTCTACCAGGTGCTGCACAACAGGGACCTGTACGACGGTACGTCCCGTTCGCTCCACCGTTATTCAAATATGTCTTTTGTCGCACTTGCTCGTGAATAATGCCCCACGGGCCTTTTTTCTCTCCATTACAGCCATGGTCGGTAAGGAGTTTTTTTTTCATTTGTAGCACGACATAATTCCTTACATAGGTCAGGTTCGAGCTCAAGCAAGGGGGTTACTTAAGTTCAAAATTAAAACGTTCGCTTAAAATGTTACCTAAACAGAAATTTAACACGTTCATCGCCGTGGTGGGTCAAAATGATCGGCATCTTATCTACCTATTGAGACCGTGGGGGGTTAAAATGACCGGCAAGGCGCACCCAACTTTTGCGATGCTTGTTCAAGCCTCAGGTGGCAAACGCTACGTATTTAGCCATAGAACATGACGGGCGTAGCCCTGATGAACTGCTGTTGCCCCTTGGTTTTTGGGATTTTTGATGGCATACATACTTTTCTAGACTAAGAGGAAAAAGTATATATATTTCGAATAAAAAAAAAATACTTTAATTTCGAATTGGATTTGAAAGTTACAAACTAAGCAAAAAAATTGTTAATGTGAAATGTCTATCTCAAATGAACGACGTACGTCAGTTTTAGGTAAACATCGATCGAACATTACGTGTACATATACTCTGCCCTGGCATTGCGACAGGCGCGGCTTAGCCGGGTTACGCCCGGCATTAAATATGATCCCAAACTTGGCTCCGATTTAGGATTATATTTAGTGCCTTAATAATGAAACATCGCGAAAAAATTTGTATACGTATACAAATAAGACCGAAAACGGTCATATAAGCCAATGTCATATTTTTAATATTATTGAAAATTCTAGTCGGCGACTAACGTGTTAATTGCAATTCAGCCACATACTACATAAATACTTATTATTAAGAATTTCTTTTAATTGATTTTAATTATTTTGTGTATAATTTTTTTTTAACAAATTTTACTACTTTTTTGCATTCCATCATGGCTGTATTCGTGTTTACTTTTTACAACTTTAGTTCCAGTTGTATTATCTTTGAAAGAATTAAAAAAGAATAAACCCACCGTTTGCCAAATCCATAATTATTGTGCTGTCAACCATATTTATATTTTATAGTGTGAGCGTTATTATTATTATTATTATTATTTATTTCCTCGCAATTGTGACGAAAAACATATGTATTATACATATATTCTTATATATTCATACGTCACATGTGACTATGACTTCGAATTTTAAGGCAGTGTTGTATGCTATGAACAGAAATGGACCTTAAGGCTTGAGGGACGCCCGTGTTAACTGTTAACCCGTACCCTTATCATCTACTCTCTAGACAATATCGCTCAAACCTGATTTAATAATAATAACGCACACACTCAACATAGCCCTGCACTAGGAAAACCCTGTGTCGCGGGTGCCATGGACACACACATAGACAACCACAAATTACACCCAAACTCCCGAGAGAAATAAATGTAGGCCATACAAATATTTCTCCCGGCCTGGGAATCGAACCTGAGACCGTTGCGTGGCAGTCCGGCATGGTAACCGTTCGGCCACGGAGGCAGTTAAAGTATTTAGGAAAGTCAATTTCACGAACCCCGCACCATAATGGCCAAGTTACCTGACTAGAGAGTCATGGTGCACTCGATCAAACGCCTTTGAAAAGTCACAGAATTCACCTATGTAATTTTGCAAGTCAAGTGTTATGTTTCATAGTGACCAAACCATATTATTTACGAGATAAACGTGGTAACAAACTACCAATCGATAAATGTGACACGAATAAAATAGCTTGCATCGTTGGATCTGTTGCAGAGCTGTGCGATGTAGACCAAGCGGAGCTGATGCGCGACTTCTGCACGCAGCTCCAAAGCACCATCGAGCGCAGCCCGGACACGCGCGGCCGCTGCACGCTTATTGATTTCGACGGTGCGTTTTATTGTGATTCTATTCAATGTATACATGCCATTGTCGACATTTATAGGACAATAAAAACTAACACTATGCGCCATCACTCACATTCACAAGGAGCTCCACTGCTACTAAATTAGAAAGAGTTCGTCCAGGGAAGTTACCTATTTCTGTGCCTACCTTTATTTTGTGGTACCTTTTCTATTTGTGTGCATTACTCCATTCCGGATTGGAAGGGGAAAGGGTGCTGGTGAAATTACAGACACATGGAACTCGTCAACTTGTGTCTCAGGGTGACGGGCGCAGTGGCAGTGCCCCTAAGAGCCTTGTGATTAAAAGCTCTATGTGGCACTGCAACTATTATGGATAGGCGTTTCGTTTACCACATCCTCAGTGTCATTTCTAAGGCTTGTAACAATCAATCTGTCACATCCCCAATAATAAAGTAACGGAATTAAAAAGGAACATACACAGACATATTAGATCTAAAATAATCTAAACAGACGTCGCAAGTACCGGGATCTGTGTGAAAACCACCACATTGTGCCACATTTTTTGTATCTCCGATGACGTCACAAGCTCTATTTAGTGATGGAAAACTTCCTTCGGCACTAAAGCGATTGGTTAAATCGAAGACGCGGACGCACCACGTATATTTAGAATATTGATTTTTCAATTATTTCTTCATTATAAGAAGCTGTGAAATGTTAATATAACAAAATAATACCAGAATAAAATGATGAAGTCCTTTATTAATACGTGTTTTGAAAAAAATTGATCTAGAAAACTAAAAAAAAAACAACAAACAAGTTTATACAATATTTTTGTAACATTTTCTAAGATCTTAAGTATGATCATCCCTTTGTTTCCTAAATCGATCAGAATCGAGAACTGTGTTACATCAAGTGAATAAATACACTAATCGTAAAATTTGACTAAAAACGTAAACGACCACTTCGGCCGTACCACAAATCTGAATGCCTCATACGAAAGTATCGCTCATTCGATATTCATGGCCTATTAAAGAACGATCACAAGAGTAGCGCACCAAGTAAAAACCACAATGTATTACGAATCTTGCGGCACACACCGTATGCATATTTGTTGTCTCGAAATTCGTTCAAAATTAAAATAATTAATTTTAAAGTAAATTATGCATATTCTGATTTACGGCACTGAGACGTGGTCGCTGACTATGGGCCTCATAAGAAGGCTCAAGGTCACTCAAAGGGCAATGGAAAGGGCTATGCTAGGAGTTTCGTTGCGAGATCGAATGAGTAATGAGGGGAACCAGAGTAACCGACATAACCCTAAGAATTGCAAAACTTAACTGGCAATGGGTAGGGCACATTCCTCGCAGAACAGAGGGCCGATGGGGCTGGAGAGTTCTCGAGTGGCGACCGCGTACCGGAAGACGCGGCGTGGACTGATGGTTGATGACTGGTGGATCTGGTGAAGGCTGCGGGCCGCTGGATGCAAGCGGCGCAGGTCGTTGTTGCATTCTTTGATGGAGGCCTATATGCGGCAGTAGACGTCTTTTGACTAAAATGATGATTCTGATTACGAAATTACTTAACTGTGGAATGACAAGTCCGACGTAGCTGTAGTGTCTATGCAGTTCCTAATTTTCGCGTTTTCGACTGACGTGACTACGGGTCGAGTTCTAGAACTCTACTCAATGCTCAAATCAGGATTTGAGTATGGTTTAAAACACTCGAAATCATACTCAAGTCCCTGCCATTAGGGTCGTATTTCCAGTGTTTGTGTTTCCAGTGCAATCCTGACTTGAGCATTGAGTAGAGTTCTAGAATACGACCCTACGACAACGGCCGGCTGTTCTGAAGCGTAGCAGCGGCAACTAAGCGTTTATAGCTTGGGCATGCTAAGTAGGCACACTTGCGGCATCTATTTAGAAATATGTCTGTAGTAACATAAATTTATAAATTCAATTCCCGCGGTTTATAAAGAAGAAATGATCTGAGTACAGAGTACTAAAAAAACCGACCTCAAAAGTTCGTGGAATTACACCTATTTGCCAAGTTTTATTGAAAGCGGCTACCGGAAAGTGCGCGAAACCCAATTCATCCCCTAGTTTTGCCACCCTTACAGGTGGAACATTTTCTTCAAATTTAAATAAGACCACTAATGAGGTACCCTCTTTCCAACAAAAATCGGTTAAAATATATTTTAACAAGCCGCTTCCATATTTCTAATTTAACTTTTTAGGTATTCAAGCATGCTAATATATAACCACTAGTAATAACACAATGTAGAAATGTCTATCTGATGGTATTTCAGATACGGATGTTAATGCCAACCTAGCGAGCGTAATCCTGGACAAGATCGCCGAACTAGAACCGAATTTCGAGGAAATCCTCAAGCTACACGAAAATAATTGTTCTTTTGACGTACTGGAACTTTAAGTTATAGAAGCTCGTCGGCTTCAAAACTCATTTTTCACTTTTCTAATTCTGTATTTTTAAGTCAAGCTTGATCGTGACTAGTACTAAGCATTACTAATAAACTCTGTACATGCTCAAGTCGTTGAGACTGGTGTCAATTTGTTTTATATGGAGAATCCTTTTTTTGAATAAGTTGTCTTATTTAGTAATAAAAAAAAACATGTCTACTAACATCCGTATGAAGTGGATGGTTTTGCGTGTAACATCTCTTTTTTTCTTTTTTTTATTATGGTGTCATAGAACGAATGCCCAGTACATAAAATTACATATTTAATCATTTCACTTATTCTAGTTTTAGTACAATTGTGTTTATGTAACATCGAATGCTTGATAACGACTGTAAAATATTTCAGATTTCTAATTTAGGGCCATTTACAGATCTCGTTCTTTTGAATGTTGTATTACAATGACGTCGATTTTGTGGCGTAGTTTCCTAAGAGCGGCAGCTAGTCTTAAAATATTACCACCGAAATGATCTGAAAGATCGAAATGACTAAAACACACAAGTTGATTGAACGCAACTTTTTTACCAACACTCCGCTGTCCCTATTTTTAAATAGTTTTTTATTTAATTGGCTAACGTTTAAAAACCTGACATAAGCGTTAGTAAATTATTTTTCTTGTCCAATATAGACAGAATCGTGCATTAAAATAGAAGCATTTTTTTTTAGTTTTAAGTCGGTTATTATCTCTATGTTAGTGGCAGAGCCATGTTTGCTTATAAAGCTTAAAACTCGTTTTCATTTGCAAGAGACTTGTCTGTGTACATCTCGTAAGTATTAACTTGAGACTACACTTGCTCTGCTTCCGTCGATCTCGTCATCAATTGCTAAATGTAAGAAAGAGCAGAGTCTAAAGTATAAATTTGGTATTTGCAGGTTGTTTATAGATTTCTAAATCAGATGAAATCGAACTTGTATGATAGCTGACATGTACCAAAAATAATTTTAAGAATTAAGATTAAGACCTACTTCAAATTATCATTTCAACTTAACAGACTTATGTGATGTACATTTATTATTTCACAGTATGACTGTTGACTATGATACGGATAAAAAACAACTAATTTCTATGAATTAAGGGTCGTGTTAATAAATCCGTCTCAAGTTCGTCATAAAAAAATGACATAAGTTACTATTTTATTCAATAATTATCTCAAGTTAATAACATGTATAAAAACATTTCTTTTTGTTGGTAATCACTTGAGTGACATTGTGATGGTATCAGTCAAGATGTCGTTAACTATTTAATAATAGACGAGTGCTTGAGATCTGAGGGAAAACTCGGTCGATGCGCTAGGTTCTTTAACCCAGGTCTATTTGTGGCAACACACCAATAGTCAAGCTAGCTTCTTAAGGTGCTTTTCCACCAGGGAGGCGAGACGAGGATGGAAATTAGTATGGCAAAATTTCAGTCTAATCTCCTAGCGCATCTTCGGTAGAAATGGCCGGTATTGACAAGGATGTGCGAAACGAGAATATAAATATTTATTGAAGTAATATTGACCCGTATTGCTGCCTACGTAGAGTTTATTAACAATGCAACGGAAACACGATGTCTCTTGAGTGAGCGATGGCTATTAATCGCGAGATTGTGGGGTCCGTACGATTTGAAATTTAAAAAAAGATTGCTTCATCTGATTCTTCTTCCGTTACCATGTTTAATAATAATAATTATTTAAGATGTATGTTACTAGCCGCGTGTTCATCCATAGACGAACTGAACAGCACTGAATCTTCATAATGCACAGCCACAGCGCGAACTCGCGATGACTATTAATATTATGTAATACTACGAGTTCGCGGTAGCTATAATGGCAATTTTTGGTGGAAATAGACTGGCGGGTTTTCAATTCTCGTCTCGCTTCTTTAAAAGCACCTTTGACGTATAGGATTAATTTTTAACTCTTTTATATATGTTTGTAACATTAACTAGAATTATTGGCTATTTTATTACAAGTTTTTTGGATTTGTTCCTGTTTCTGGGAACATTATTTTTAAGTTTTTTTTAAATTAGTACTATGTAAACTTATAAAGAGTACAAATGACAAGGGCTTATAGCTCCATGTTGATTTAATAAAAAAATATTTTCACACAGTGGTTTATGTTTTGATCTAAGGGTGCATACAGATCTGGCGAATGCTACAAACGCGTGCAATTAAGTGTGCCTTTGTGATGACGCGAAGAGATCGTATATAAAGCACGTGTGCAGCTCGCGAGCCTGTCGCAATCAGGTGCATTTGCCAGATTTGTACGCACCCT